CGGCCCACAGCGAGCCCCGAGGACCCCTGGCCTGAAAGCAGAGCCCCGAACATCCCCGGAGACCCCCTCGCCTGGGAGCAGCGCTTGGGGCCCGGAGCTCATGCAGCACATAACTGTTTCTGGGGATTCCAGCCCACGCGCGAAGCGATCGGGGACTCCCAAGAACAGCCCGGAGCTGCCATGTGCGCCTTGTCCCCGAGTTGACCCCCAGTGGGCATTCAGCTCACGGCCCATCCCAGGGCCAGGGGAGGGGAAGCTGGGACGGAGAGACACCTGCAGTGGCCGCCCCAGTGCAGCCAGGGGCGTGGAGGCAGGCACCTCCCCCGGAAGGGGGGGCACTGCCTTCATCCTAATAACAGGGCATCTAAGGGCCCTGTTAATTAGGCTAATATTTAACTATAATGACACCGGGAAGCTTTGCAAGTCCTGGAAGGAGAGATACTGACAAAAGGGGTGCCTACTGGGTGTTGTCTACCAAACAACCATAACCCACTGCCATGGAGAGAGTCCAAATCAGCGACCCTATAGGACATATTTGTTGTTATGAGGTGGCATTGAGTAGGTTCTGACTCACAGTGACTCATAGAGTTTCGACGAGCGGCTTGTGGGTTTGAACCACCAATCTTGAGGTTAACAGTCCAGCACCTATCCTACAGTGCCAAACCAGGACTCCAATAATTTTCTGACAGCGCAACAAATAAGTAACAAGTATAGCACATTGGAAGGCACTCTGGTAGTGTAGTGGTTAGGAATTGGGCTGCTAACCTCAAGGTCGTCAGTTTGAAACTACCAGCGGTTCCGTGGGAGAAAGACGAGGCTTTCTGCGCCCGTAAAGATTTACAGCCTCGGAAACCCTGTACCGGGTCGCTATGGGTCAGAACTGACTCCACGGTACTTAGCAACAACAACAACAATAGCACATCAGAGTCCAGGTGTGATGCTGTGGGTTAAGGCGCTGGACCACAAGGTCAGTTTGAACTGCAAGGCTGCTGGTTCAAACTCACCCGCCGCTCCTAAGAAGCCCTATATCGGGTTGCTATGAATCCGAGCCGACTCGACCGCACTTAAAAGCAACAGTATCACATTAATCGGTCCTGGAGGAAGTACAGTCAGAATGTACTTAGACGCAAGGATGTGGGGTTTCATCTTGTTTACTGTGGACACATTGCTTACTCAGGAAAGACCAAGCACTAGAAAAGTGTGTCTCCTTTAATAGAGGGCCAGCAAAAACCAGGGGACCCCTATGCTTCAGTTCTCTAGTGCTGCTGTGACAAAGAGCGCAAGTCGAGGGCTTTGACAGACTAATTGATTTTCTGATGGTGTGTGACAAAGCTAGACATCCAAATGCCGGGGCTCCAGGGGAAGACGTCCTCTCTGTATCATCTCTGGAGAAAGGTCCTTGGCTCTTCAGCTCTATCTCCTGGTTTCTTGGAGATCTCTATGTGAGTTGGCATCAGCTTTTACCTGTGGTGCTGTGGGCTAATGCGTCAGACTGCAAAGTCGTTTGAACTGCAAAGTCTGTGGTTCAAGCTCACCAGATGCTCCTTGGAAACCCTATAGAGGGTTGCTATGGGTTGGAATTGACTCAAGGGCACTTTACCACAACAACCCTCACCCCTACCCTGTCCCTGCTTCTTTAGCTGGCTTGTTAAATCTCTTAGATCTCAAGACACACCCTAAACAAATCCTATCTCATTCACATAACAATGGCAACCCTTTCCTAAATGGGATTATAACCACAGGCGTGTGGTTGTTTCCTTAGATGCCAATGAGTCAGTTCCTGCTCCTAGGGACCCTATGTACAACAGAAGTCACCTTGCTCAGTCCTATGGGATCATCCTCACAATGGCTGAGCCGAGGGTTGTAGCTGCTGTACCAACCTCTTGAAGAAGAGGGTCCGCCTCTTCTTCACAGTCCTTCTCCAGGGACAGGTCCCTCCTGATAACAGGTCTGAAGTATAATTGACGAAGTCTCAGTGTCCTGGCTCTTAGGGAGCATTCTGGCTGGACTCCTTCATCTGCGAGGTGTGTTCGCAGACATAGAGTTAGGTGTCACAACATCTTTTGGGCGGGGACACAATTCAATGCATACACCCTCCAAGGTGTCAGTGAAATTAGCTCCTCTTTGTAACTTCTAGTAACCCTCCTGGTACAAAGGTGCTTGATGGTTAACAAAAAGGTTGCAAGTTCGAACACACTATCCACTCTTCAGGAGAAAGCTGCGCCGATCTGTTTCTGTAAAGATTTACCGTCTTGGAAACCCTGTGGGGTGCTTCTGTTTTATCCTGTAGGATCGCTGAGTCAGGATCCACCTGACAGTCAATCCACAAACTTCAGTGTTTAGTTTGATTTATTTTGGTGCCTTTTGCCTTGGTTCTTTGGAAAAACAACTTGGGAGATTTCCCCCCTAAACCCTGAAGAATTACCTTTGCCAAAGTTCTTTGAAGAAACTCTTTGGGGAACCTCCCTGGGAGCTTTTTATCCCAGAGGGTTGTTACATTGCCAGGAGAAGACTCATAAAGGTTAATTCTGTTCAAGACCTGCATTGAGTAAATCTCCCAAAACAATTGGTTGGGCTACAGTTTTGCAAAGGATTGATCAATTTACTATTCAAATATTGTTGTTGTTAAGTGCTGTGGAGTCAGTTCTGACTCATAGCGACCCTCTATAGAGTTTCCAAGGAGAGGCTGAAGGGCTTGAACCATCAACCTTGTAGCTAGCTAGCATCCACCCAATAGACTGGAGGGAGCTGCCGTACCCAGGGGATTGGTTGGTCATGTTCCTGCTGAGTGAACCAGGACTTGAAACTGATGAGGAGTTTGCTAGTGGGAGGGGCTAAGCTCACAGGGGATTTCAGAGAGAGAAGAAACAAGGAAGGAAACTCAGGAACAGAGCGCTCTAGACCTGGGGTTCGGAGAAAAAGCTGTAATATGCATCAAGCACTGGAACACTGAAGATGGCAAGGAACCCAGAAAGGGTCCCAGTGGCAGAGCCAGTAGTGATGGCAGAAAGTATAAACGAGCCCAAAGGACCCCTGCCCAGTGCACACAGAAATTCAGTCTCTGGTCACCGGTGTGTAAGAAAGAGAGAAAGTAGCTTTACTGCCAAGCGCTGAGCAAGGAGCCAGGACAGTACCTCAGATCTGACTCTCTGAACAGCTGGAGATTCACATTTTTATAGGTGGAGAGTAAGGGGAATTACACATATTCGTAACATTTCTTCAGAAGGAAGGCAGGGGAAGACACCAGGAGGAGTGCAAGAGATAAAAGGAAGAAGGTAAGTGCTGTTTTATACACAATTCTGCTACCACAGTGATTTAAAATAGATACGTGGATGGGTAGGGAGAGAGAGTGGGAAGGTACCCACACATTTACAGAAGTTTGACATCGGACATTTATACACGCTGCAAAAATATCCATGAATGTGATGGAGCATACAGATGGCAAAATCCTGAGAACTTCTGAGATGTGACCAAACACCTGGAAGGAGTGAGTCACTGGGCCTAGGAGCTGAGAGCCATACTCTCAGGGGACACCAGGGTCAATGGGCATAACATAGTCCACAAGGACAACATTCTACATCTTAATGTGGTGAGAAGTGACTGGAATCTTCAAAGCTCATGAGTGGCCTTCCAAGGTGCAACTATTGGTCTGTCCCTGTGTGGAGGAAAGAAAAGTGCTAAGAACTGAAGACAATTGGAAACAATTGGTCCAATGGACTAATGCGCCACACGGGCATCAGTCCCCAGGACCCTGAGACCAGAGGAACTCGATGGTGCCCGGCCACCACTACCAACTGCTCTGATACGGACACATTAGAGGGTCCTGGATAGAGTGGGAGCAAATGTGGAACAAAACTCCAAGTTATTTAAAATAAAAGAAACCCGGCTTATGGGTCAGAAAGAGACTGAAGGAACCTAAGACTAAGGTGCTTGGTCATCTTTCAAGGTCTGGAATGGAACGCGTCCTCGTGGCTCATTTTTCAGCCAAGCAGTAGATAGATTTTGGCTGGGGGCGGGGTCAGGGTGGACAGCCACACTGGTGAAGTCCGCACACCACAGAACAGTCACCCATTTGAGATGAAAAGGGCAGCATGTTCAGAAGGCTTGGGGAGGAGGAAGAATGGAAACAAGACTCAGAGAGGAAGCGGAGGGACGGCAATCATTTAAATGAAACAAAGTGTAGGATTTGTTCAACGTAAAACAGGATCTGCTGTGTAGACCTTCACTCAATGCAAAATAAAAAGTTGGTTTTTTTGTTTCTTATGCATTTTGGGTTGGATCGAGATGCATGCACAGTGGTCATGAGTCACGGGCATGCTGGGCAGGGGATATACATCATACATAAGGTCACCTTTAGGACATGAAGGGTCCAACTGCACAGGCCCGGTGTATCAGAACTCAATGGATCCAGCACAGGCTGGTCCCAACAATAATAACTTGCAGTGAA